CTTTTTCATCTTTGCTGCGGCTCCGGAGCACACTGCCCACCAGGTGGAGCAGGCAATAGGCTTTCAGTGGTCGGCAAGCCGCGGGATCGCAAGCCACATGCGGCTCTTCTGTGTGCCGGGCACCCGCTTCCCCTCCCTCCTTCTCGGCGGCGGCCGCCTCAAAAGTTCCAGGACTCTTTTAATCCGGCCCGCGGAGCGTGGAACATTGGCTGTCAGGATGTAGGCGGGCAGCCAGGATGTAGGCGTGGGCAGGCAGCGTGACGAACTCCTCTCCTCTCACAGTCCACCCTGAAGACCGGAACACAGCGAGAGGAACGCGCGCGATCGCAAAGGTAAGTGAATGAATTACTATATGGGGGATGAATTACTATATGGGGGATGAATTACTATATGGGGATAATTTACTATGGGGGATGAATTACTAATGGGGGATGAATTACTATATGGGGGATGAATTACTATATGGGGGATGAATCATACTATGGGGGATGAATTACTATATGGGGGATGAATTACTATATGGGGGATGAATTACTATAAATGGGGATGAATTACTATGTGGGATGAATTACTATATGGGGGATGAATTACTATGGGGGATGAATTACTATATGGGGGATGAATTACTATAATGGGGATGAATTACTATATGGGGATGAATTACTATATGAGGGATGAATTACTATGGGGGATGAATTACTATATGGGGGATGTATTACTAATGGGGGATGAATTACTATAGGGGGGATGAATTACTATATGGGGGATGAATTACTATATGGGGGATGAATTTTACTATATGGGGGATGAATTACTATGGGGGATGAATTACTATGGGGGATGAATTACTATATGAGGGGATGAAATTACTATGGGGGATGAATTACTATATGGGGGATGAATTACTATATGGGGATGAATTACTATAATGGGGGATGAATTACTATATGGGGATGAATTACTATATGGGGGATGAATTACTATATGGGGGATGAATTACTATGGGGGATGAATTACTATATGGGGGGATGAATTACTATGGGGATGAATTACTATAGGGGGGATGAATTTTCTATAGGGGGGATGAATTTCTATAGGGGGATGAATTACTATATGGGGGATGTATTACTATGGGGGGTGAATTACTATATGGGGGATGAATTACTAATATGGGGGATGAATTACTATATGGGGGATGAATTACTATATTGGGGGATGAATTACTATATGGGGGATGAATTACTATATGGGGGATGAATTACTATATGGGGGATGAATTACTATATGGGGGATGAATTACTATGGGGGATGAATTACTATATGGGGGATGAATTACTATATGGGGATGAATTACTATGGGGGATGAATTACTATATGGGGATGAATTACTATGGGGGATGAATTACTATATGGGGGATGAATTACTATAGGGGATGAATTACTATATGGGGGATGAATTACTATAGGGGGGGGGATGAATTACTATGGGGGGATGAATTACTATATGGGGGATGAATTACTATATGGGGGATGAATTACTATGGGGGATGAATTACTATGGGGGATGAATTACTATATGGGGGATGTATTACTATATGGGGGATGAATTACTATGGGGATGAATTACTATATGGGGGATGAAGCTAACTGCACGATCCTGTATACAGCATTAAGGTAAGAAACAATATATGCAGTGTCGGATTTGTTTTAAATGTTGCAATGGTTTTGCGGCTCCCAGTCTTTTTTTTCCCTTCGGAAACGGGTCCAAGTGGCTCTTTATGTCTTAAAAGTTGCAGACCCCTGCTCTAGGGGATGCCATACACCCCAATTATTAGGAGGTTCAAACCGATTGTTTACAGCTACATTATAACCAGAATGTGTTATCTTTCCAAAAAAAATTCTTTTTAGGAGATGAATTTAGTAACACTACTGGTGGATAGGATGAGCCGTCACATTTCTTGTAGTGAGAGATGTTTTTCAGGGAAGATTTCTTCTCATCACTCACCGCCCCAACAGAGGAGTTCCTTGAGTCACCATTACCACCGGAAACGTCTTCCTGCCATTTATATAACGTTATTAGATTTACAATCCCTGCATATCCGATGAGGCTCATTACTCCCCTCCATCTGGTGAGTGCGCTCAATATGATTCGTCACGTGGGGATCGGGTGGAAGCACATTTTGGAACATTGTTTTGAAAATCCTTTTGGGAAATAAGGACTTATGTTTGAAATATTATTATATCTATATTTTTGCACGGGACATTTTATTTATGTGCGATTATTTTTATGTATTTCATTTTAGCGCTGTTTTTTGTGTTAAATGAAATCATGTTATGCTCACGGCTAACCCAGATGTATCTATATATGACACTCGTAATAATCTCTGCATGGTTGGAGATGACACAGGTCCAGCAGAGCATCAATTCCTAGTTGGGGTGGCCTCTATGACCAGGTCCAGCAGAGCATCATTCCTAGTTGGGGCCTCTATGACCAGGTCCAGCAGTAGCATCATTCCTAGTTGGGGGCCTCTATGACCAGGTCCAGCAGAGCATCATTCCTAGTTGAGGCCTCTATGACACAGGTCCCGCAGAGCATCATTCCTTAGTTGGGCCCCATCCTATGACCAGGTCCAGCAAGAGCATCATTCCTAGTTGAGGCCTCTAAGACAACAGGTCCAAGCAAGAGCATCATTCCTAGTTGGGGCCTCTATGACACATGGTCCAGCAGAGCATCATTCCTAGTTGGGGCCATCTATGACCAAGGTCCATGCAGAGCATCAACATTCCTAGTTGGTGCCTCTATGACCAGGTCCAGCAGAGCATCATTCCTAGTTGGGGCCTCTATGACCAGGTCCAGCAGAGCATCATTCCTAGTTGGGCCAGGAGCTATGACCAGGTCCAGCAGAGCTATCATTCCTAGTTGGGGCCTCTAATGACCAGGTCCAGCAGAGCATCATTCCTAGTTGGGGCCTCAATGAACTGAACCCCATACAATTGTCCTGTAGTAGGTTATACATTTTTGTCCTTTAAAAATCTGTTCCTGCAGTCCATTACTCCAGTCAGTTTCCGGGGATAGTTACCATCCCCATTATTATTACTGTCCCGCGCCCTTTCCATCTGTGGAGAGGAGCTGAGGTCTCCACCTCCTCATTAACACTGGAAGGCCTAGTAACAAACTCCAATGATGACCTTTGTAGTACCGCCCAATAACCATGTGCAGCTCCACCCATAATACTTCAGCCTCATCACACTCTCCATCAACTAGGTGTCCTCTCAACACTCCGCTGAGATCGCTTCTCACAGACAGACTCCACCCCTTTTTCCTATTCCAGACTCTCACCCCCCTTTCCTATTTCCCCCGTCAAATCTCCGAAAGAGAACCTAGCCAGCGAATATGAATGGCCCAGTCATGTGAGGAATGAAGCCAAAGATATCAGCAAATACCAATCCAAATCCTAGGTTCTCTTCATTCACCGAACCTTCCAAGCTCACCCTATTGTGCTGGGCTGGGCAGACTTCCCCGCATTGGGGAACAAACACTTCCATTCACTGACACCTTGAATTCATTACTCCCTGACACCTACCTTCATTCCTATACCTGGGACATCCTTGTTCATACACTGACATCTCCATTCACTGACATCCAACAAAAACAATCCTTATATTTACTGACACCAGGTTGTTCATTCTCTCATGACACCTTGTCTATTCTTCTGACACCTTCTTTCACTGACACCTCCTTCATTCACTGACACCTCCTTCATTCACTGACACCTTGTTCAACACACGGATTTTGTGTATTTTTTATTTTCATACAAATGGTACCAATTCCACTGGCTTGTTTTGTAAACATGGGAACCTTCTTACCGATTCTGTTATAGCCCTCCCCACCATATCTTTCCCCCATATCATCCGCCCCCCAATAAGGACTGACCCCCGGTCTGATCTGTCTACCACAATATAATCCCTGATGTACAGGAAGACAGGACTTCAGAGTGAGGAACATTTCCCTCACTCTGGACAGGAATAAACGGCTTCTCCCCCGTGTGAGATCTCTGATTGTAAGTGAAGACTAAGAACTGCGACGTAATTGTGAAAAAAAACATTTCCCAGCACTCAGGACAGGAATTGGCTTTTTCACGATCCGTGAGATAATCCTCTGATGTAAGCAAAGAACAGACTTCCGTGAAAAACATTTCCCGCACTCAGGACAGGAATACGGCTTTTTCCCCCGATTGAGATCTCTGATGTAAGCAAAGATGAGACTTCTGTGGAAAAAACATTCCCCGCAACGTCGAGGACAAGAATACGGCTTCTCGGCCCCGTGTGAGATCTCACTGATGTGAGTAAAGACTGTGAGTATATGAAAAACATTCCCCGCACTCAGGACAGGAATAACGGCGCTTCTCCCCTGTGTGAGATCTCTGATAGTATGTTAAGTTTGGACTTGTAGGTGAAAACATTTTCCCGCACTCAGGACAGGAATATGGCTGCTCCCCACCGTGGTGAGATATCTCTGATGTGAGTTAAAATGGGCTTCTGTGAAAACAACTTTCCACACTCGGGACAGAATACGGCTTCTCCCCCCTGTGTGAGATCTCTGATGTATTGTAAAGACTTGGACTTACATGAAAACAACTTCCGCACTCAGGACAGGAATACGGCATTTCCCCCCCGTGTGAGATCTTATATGCCTTATTAAGATCAGATTTAGATTGGTAAACATTTCCGCACTCAGAACCAGGAATATGGCTACTCCCCCGTGTGATGTATCTTTGATGTGAGCGAAGATGAGAGTTATATGAAAACCACTTTCCACACTCAGGCGACAGGAATATGGCTTTTCACCCGCGTGTGAAATCTCTGATGTAAGAGCAAAGAACAGACTTCCGTGAAAAACATTTCCAGCACTCAGGACAGGAATACGGCTTTTCCCCCCCCGTGTGAGATCTCTGATGTAAGCGAAGATGGGACTTCCCATGAAAAAACATTTCCCGCACTCAGGACAAGATACGGCTTCTCCCCCGTGTGAGATCTCTGATGTGTGTGAAAAGATAGGAACTCTGTGTGAAAAAGAGATTTCCCGCACTCTGGACAAATATACGGCTTCTCTCCCGTGTGAATCTCTGATAGTCTGGAAAGATAGTACTTCGCTGAAAAACATTTCCCACACTCAGGACAGTAATATGGCTTTTTCCCCCGTGTGAGATTCTCTGATGTGTGTGATGAAAACAGGACTTGCTTGAAAAACATTTCCCGCACTCTAAACAGGAATATGGCTTCTCACCCCGTGTGAGATCGTTTATGCACATTAAAGTTGGAGATTTAGATTGGAAATAATTTCCCGCACTCAGGACTGGAATATGGCTTCCTCCCCCGTGTGAGACCTCTGATGTACGATAAGTGTTTGTTTCATAGAAAAAAATCTTTCCCACAGTTAGGCCCGGAATACGGCTTCTCCCCGTGTGAGATCGTTTATTTGCACATTAAGTTTGAGATTTAGATTGGAAACCTTTCCCGCACTTAGGACAGGCATATAGCTACTCCCCCTGTGTGAGATCTCTGGATGTATAAGAAGTCTTGATTTTTCTAAAAAAAAACATTTCCCGCACTCAGAACAGGAATACGGCTTCTCCACCGTGTGAGATCTTACATCTCATTAAAATTGGATTTAGAAGGGAAACATTTCCCGCACTCAGGACAGGAATACAGCTTCATCTGCCTGTGTGAGCTCTTTCATGCCTTTTATGACCGAATTTATAAGAAGAAACATTTCCCGCACTCAGAACAGGAATACTGCTTCTCCCCCGTGTGAGATATTATATGCAAATTAAGACGGGATTTATATTGGAAACAATTTCCCGCACTCAAGGTCAGGAGAACCTCTTCCCTGTTGGAAGGTCGGGCCCGGTCCCCGCACAGAGTCTGAGGTTCCTCAGGATACGAGGAATCCGATGGTCCATCTACACTGGGTGGTGCCGGATGGACATTGGGAGGGAGCGGGTTTTCTCCTGGACTATACTGTGTGATGTCCTCATCTTCTACTTTCCAGTCTGGAGACAAAGTGAGACAATCCTCGGAGGTTTTCCTCATCTCCCGGCCATGGACTAAAATACCACAAAGACAAAGAGGATTACTAGACAGGAGCTGATTGGTTCCCCCAAACTAGGACTCTTTCCGCCCACATCATGCAGCTTGGGTCTCTGAGGAGCTTACAATTCCACCCTCAAGGGAACTAGGGAAATGGCTCCTCTGATCTCCTACAGGTCATTTCTTTATTCATGGACCTTAGTCAGAGAGTGAGGAAACAACCATAACTGTCTTTTTATAGGAAGGGGACAGTGATGAGGGGATTATAGGACGAGGGTCCCCACCCCCCTCTATCACTACATCGCCAGTCTCCCAACACAAGAAGTACTGCACTTCCTTATTTACTCCATGATTTAAGTCATGAAGAACAGCGGGGCTGGAGCCCCACCAGAGGTCAGAGAGTGAGGATGGGGGGTGAACAACCAAGATGAAGACTGGACTGACCCTGAAGACCACCATCATTGGGGCATTGACTCCTCCCCCATCCTGACCCTGAAGACCACCATCATGTGCCTGGTATTGACTCCTCCCACCTATCCTGAAGACCACCATCATTGGGGTATTGACTCCTCCCTCACCCTGAAACCTTGAAGGCCACCAATCATTGGGCTATTTGGCTGCTCCCCCCCCATCCCCCCCACCAGTAGACCACCATCATTGGGGGTATTTACTCCTCCCTTATCCTGAAGTCCACCATCATTGGGGTATTGGCTCCTCCCCCATCCTGAAAACCACCATCATTTGAGTATTGACTCCTCCCACATCCTGAAGACCACCATCATTGGGGTATTGACTCCTCCCTCATCCTGACCTTGAAGTGACCACCGATCATTGGGCTATTGGCTCCTCCCCCATCCTGTAGTCCACCATCATTGGGTATTGACTCCTCCCTCATCCTGAAGACCACCATCATTGGGGTAGTGACTCCTCCCTCATCCTGAAGACCATCCATCATTGGGGTATTGGCTCCTCCCCGATCCTGAAGACCACCATCATTGGGGTATTGACTCATCCTTCCCTTATCCTGAAGACCCACCATCATTGGGGTATTCACTCCTCCTCATCCTGAAGACCACACCATCATTGGGGTATTGGCTCCACCATTCATTATCACTTTCTGGTTGGAGGATGTTATCACATTATTATCACCATGTAAAAGTCTGTGCTCCAATCACATCATACCGATATAAAATTATATTTTTTAAATTATAATTTTTTTTTTATTAAAGTCCCAGCTGGGAGGAAATGGGGGGGAACAGAGAAGACATATGTATCTGTGTATATATAGCAGGTGGGGGGAGGAATGAGAGCAGGGGGTCACGGGGGTATGTAATGTACAACACAGAGTATATAGTGCAGGGGTCAGGAGTATGTAATGTACATCACATGGAGTATTCGTAGTAATCCAGTGCAGGGGTCAGGAGTATGTGCGATAATGTATTACAAATCATGCGTGTTATACATATAGTGCAGGGGTCAGGAGGTATGTAATGTACAACACATTGAGTATATAGTGCAGGGGTCAGGAGTATGTAATGTACAACATTGTGGAGTATATATAGTGCAGGGGTCAGGAGTATGTAATGTACAACATAGAGTATATAGTGCAGGGGTCAGGAGTATGTAATGTACAACATAGAGTATATAGTGCAGGGGGTCAGGAGTATGTAAATGTACAAACATGGAGTATATAATGCAGGGGTCAGGAGTATGTAATGTACAACACGGAGTATATAGTGCAGGGGTCAGGAGGATGTAATGTACAACATAGAGTATATAGTGCAGGGGTCAGGAGTATGTAATGTACAACATAGAGTATATAGTGCAGGGGTCAGGAGTATGTAATGTACAACACAGAGTATATAGTGCAGGGGTCCAGGAGGATGGGAATGTACAACAATAGAGTATATAGTGCAGGGGTCAGGAGTATGTAATGTACAACATAGAGTATATAGTGCAGGGGTCAGGAGTATGTAATGTAAAACATAGAGTATATAGTGCAGGGGTCAGGAGGATGCAATGTACAATTATATAGTATAAGGGGTCAGGGACTCTCAGTATTATAGTATCTGTAATCAGTTGGAAGCTGAAATGTTTACTGTAGACAACATGTAGAGGTGAGCTGGGATTAAACCATCATGGAACGGGTTAGATATCGGAGGGGTGAGCAAATCCTTGGACACAGAGGGGTGGCGGTGGATGTGGCATACTCGGACAGAGGGGTGGCGGTGGACGTGTCACAGGTTCAGTGGCGGAGACTCGTACAGAGGGGAGGTGGCGGTGGACGTGGCGTACTCGGACAGAGGGGTGGCGGTGGACGTGGCGTACTCGGACAGAGGGGTGGTGGCGGTGGACGTGGGTGGTACTCGGACAGAGGGGGTGGCGCGGTGGACGTGGCGTACTCGGACAGAGGGGCGGGTTGGGTGGACGTGGATACTCGGACAGAGGGGGGCGGTGGACGTGGTATACTTGGACAGAGGGGTGGCGGTGGACGTGGCGTTACGCTTGGACACAGTTCCCCACACACAGCTAATGTTGTAAGTTAAAATACTGGAATAATCTGAATATAAATGGATAGAAAACTGGCTGAAAGATCGTATTCAGAGAATAGATTATGGTAATGATTCATACTCTGCATGGTCTGGGGGTGTCATGGCTGTGGGGTACCCCAAGGCTCATGTGTTATTAGTGGGGGTACCCCAAGGTTCAGTGTGATTTAGTGGGGTACCCCAAGGCTCAGTGTCATTAGTGGGGTACCCCAAGGCTCAGTGTGATTAGTGGGGTACCCCAAGGCTCAGTGTTATTAGTGGGGTACCCCAAGGTCAGTGTGACTAGTGGGGTACCCCAAGGCTCAGTGTGACTAGTGGGTACCCCAAGGCTCAGTGTGACTAGTGGGGTACCCCAAGGCTCAGTGTGACTAGTGGGGTACCCCAAGGCTCAGTGTCATTAGTGGGGTACCCAAGGCTCAGTGTGATAGTGGGGTACCCCAAGGCTCAGTGTCATTAGTGGGGTACCCCAAGGCTCAGTGTGATTAGTGGGGTACCCCAAGGCTCAGTGTGATTAGTGGGGTACCCCAAGGCTCAGGCTCATGTGTGATTAGTGGGGTACCCCAAGTCTCAGTGTTATTAGTGGGGTACCCCAAGGCTCAGTGTGATTAGTGGGGGTACCCCAAGGCTCAGTGTGATTAGCCGGTTCCCCCCCCCCCGGACTATGGCAGATGGTGGCGGGGTGAGCACCTCGTCTCCCTCCGGGTGGAAGCCATATGGAGTCCTTCCAGGAATGCGCAGTTTTGCCTCCCCGCAGAGCCGTGCAGCGGCGGGATCTGTCACCGACCACGTACCTCGGACACGGCCAATGACAGATCTGTGTACCGCCCCATTGTCAGTACCATGTGACCTGTTGTGACCAATCACTGCAGATCACATGAACAGTTGTATACTATGGATGGCTTCATTTTCTTCTCAAAAGACCAAAAATTTTGAAAATAAAACGTTTTTCTTTATTTCTGTTATAAAAGTTTACAAATAAATAATTGTTCTTCAGAAATTTAGGCCGAGATGTTTTCTGCTCCATTTCTGGGGTGAAAAAACCCAAATTAGGATTTATGATTTAGTCTGAAGGGAAGTTATAGAGTTCACAAACTATGGGAGATATCTGAGTATTGATCAATCCTGAAGGACTGACAGCCAATCTCATTTCCTGAGGTCCACGAATGTCGGGACGGGACAGAGATCCCCCCAAATGTCGGGACGGGACAGAGATCCCCCCAATGTCGGGACGGGACAGACATCCCCCTCCCAAATGTCGGGACGGGACAGACATCCCCCCCAAATGTCGGGACGGGACAGACATCATCCCCCAAATGTCGGGGACTATACAGAGATCCCCCAAATGTCGGGACAGAGATCCCCCAAATGTCGGGACGGGACAGAGATCCCCCAAATGTCGGGACGGTACAAGATCCCCACATCCGGTACAGACATCCCCCAAATGTCGGGACGGGACAGACATCCCCCCCAATGTCGGGACGGGACAGACATCCCCCCCAAATGTCGGGACGGGACAGACATCCCCCCCAAATGTCGGGACGGGACAGACATCCCCCCCCAATGTCGGGACGGGACAGACATCCCCCCCAAATGTCGGGACGGGACAGACATCCCCCCCAAATGTCGGGACGGGACAGACATCCCCCCCAAAATGTCGGGACGGGACAGACATCCCCCCAAATGTCGGGACGGGACAGATATCCCCCAAATGTCGGGACGGGACAGAGATCCCCCAAATGTCGGACGGGACAGAGATCCCCCAAAATGTCGGGACGGGACAGAGATCCCCCAAATGTCGGGACGGGACAGATATCCCCCAAATGTCAAGACGGTACAGATATCCCCCAAATGTCGGGACGGTACAGATATCCCCCAAATGTCGGGACGGTACAGATATCCCCCCTCAATGTCAGGACGGTACAGATATCCCCCAAATGTCAGGAACGGTACAGATATCCCCCAAATGTCGGGACGGTACAGATATCCCCCCCAAAATGTCGGGACGGTACAGATAATCCCCCCAAATGTCGGGACGGTACAGATATCCCCCCAAATGTCGGGACGGTACAGATATCCCCCCAAATGTCGGGACGGTACAGATATATCCCCCCCAAATATTAGTTTGGTTACAGTGTTGTATGATATTGATCCCATACAATTGTCACTGAATGTGGACAGAACTGAAACCTCAAAAATGGCCTGGGGAAGGAGGGGGTAAAATGTGCTCAGTATGTCGAAGGGGTTAATGGGGTACCCCAAATGTCAGTGTTATTAGAGGGGTACCCCAAGATCTCAGTGTTGGGACCCCAAATATTAATATATTCCAAAAAAAAATATTAGGGGGTCTTATATTAAAAAATCCTAAAAAATAAGGGGGGGTATGATTCTCCATGTATAATGTTATGCCTAAGGGGGGATATGATATCTACCATGTATAATACATAAGGGGGGATATGATCTCCATGTAT